TTATCCACATAAGTATGAAATAGAACTATTTAATTAGGAAGTATGAATACTAAAGTTGCTGTTGATAATGGCTAAAGGTTATCAATATGGAGTGGGGTAACTTTAGGTAATCACATATTCCATTAACAGAGTATAACCATGCACTAGATGATGAGAGTTTAAACCCTGGTGAACAGGCAAGTGCACAATTTTTTACTGTTATGGTTTTTTTAGCTTTTGCCTTACTTCTGTTAAACATAATTTGCTCATATTATATTCTTTTGATTTGCCATATGAGAAGGTAATAGTTGGTATGTGTTCGGGAAAAATTGTCTGTAGAGTTCTGTGTAGGATGGCTAAGGAAGCTAATTTCTTTGGTGACACTGTTCTACAAAAACTTAAAGTGCCGTTTGTATTGAGGTAATTTCCTCATGCTATTTAAGGATCTGTATCCATTTTAATTTTTCTTTGCTTCCGGTATTTCGTTCTGTTTGATTTCAGTTATTTTTCATCAATTGCACTCTAATTTTTATAAATACTGTATATTAATCGTTTTCATGTTTTTTTGCTACTCTAATCATTTTCATTTACACAATGTTTGCAATGAGAAAACTGGTAATGAACATTTTGTTTGCCCTTACTAAGAAATGTTATTCATAGAAAACTTATTTTGCGTGAGATTATGAGAAGAATTTGAACTTAAAAGTGATCTGGCTAGATCGGGTGTTCAAAGAACTATTAAATATGAGTCAGTGTATGTGAGGTTTTGCATAACATTTTCAGACTTCAAATGAAAGTGTATTCCTTCATAGGAGAAGACATTTCTTTCATTGGTTCTGTGCTTATTTCTTGAATTTATATATACCTAAATTACGTTTCATTTGTGTAACACAATCTAATGCACAAATTTTTAATTGCTGCTGCTGGAGTATCCAATGCAAAGATGGTTAGATAGGTGGTATTATGCTGATAGTATGGTTAGACAGCTTCTTTTTCTGCTTTACCAGTAATTGCACTGAAATGCTGTAGCTGAAAAAAGGGAATCAGAAGAGTATCTTTGCAAAGAAGTGTTTGTTTTAATGCTATTTAGCTTCAAATACTTATTATTGGAAAATTTTTAATTACAATGTCCACTGGTCAAACTCTTTTGTATGAAGAAAAAAAAGCAGCCTATAGCTAAAACTTAGGATTGCCAGTCTCCACTGTCTCTTATCTCAAGTGACACATCTGATTTCTTTTCATGCTATCAATAGAAAAAATTGCAAATATAAATAATTTTTGGAAGATGGTTCCTATAGTAATTTTGCTTAAAGGAATCAATAAGATAAAAATAATGGTTCAAGTTTTTACCCTTTCTGAAATGTGTTTAAGTATGAAAATTCTCTTCTTTGAGCGAAACAGGATTATGGCTCCATTGTATTTAATAATATCGAAATAAGAAGATACGCGTCAAAGGAGTTTTTATTTCTTTTAGTTTATTAGTTATTACCTTAAAATGATTTTTTTTATGTCATTATATTTGATGATATATAATTGATTTGACTTTTGTAGCTTGGTTGAAGGTTACTTTAGCAATATAATTATTTTTGGCTTTGGGTACAGATGCAAATAGGGACACATTCCTTTACATTTGATCATGTTTATGGAAATGGTGGTTCTCCGTCACCTTCCATGTTTGAAGAATGTGTTGCTCCTCTAGTTGAAGGTTTGTTCTACGGATACAATGCTATTGTACTTGCTTATAGTTAGGTAATATCGGTTGATATATTAGAGTTACTCTAAGTTAAACAAGCCTTTTTTAATGTCTTGGTATTTATATTCATGGTTGACATGTGCAATTGTTGCAAACGAGATCTGGGAAGACATATACCATAGGGATAGCTATCAAAAATGGTTACGAGACAGGATTGATTCCTCAAGTTATGAATGCATTGTTCAAGAAAATTGAAACATTGAAGCATTAAATAATAAACCCGCAACATGGGGCTTTAACACTTGTATATATAATAATAAATCAAGCATAGAGCTAGCAATTGTAAATGACTATTATTTCTCTACTCATTAAATTTTATTTTTCAAATCACAAAAGTATTGTTTTCAGTAATCATCAAGCAAAGCCTATTCATTCTAGTGATTTTTTTTAATTTAAAAAATAAAATAGTAAAAGCTTTATAAGTATATAGTATGTAATAAGATTAAAAAAACCCCTTGATTCAAATCTGAAAAAATTTAATTTGATTGATCCATATTTTTATTTTTAAAAGATAGTATTTACTAAATTTAAAGTTAAAATCTTAACTTTAACAACCTATTTGTAATCTTTTTTGTAAAAAAAAAAAAGAGAGAGAGAAAACCATAAAGTCAAGTATATTTATTGTTAATCTATAGTTCCAAATATATTAGAAATTTGGTTAAAATAAATTTTATTAATTTTATTATTTTATTTAGATAAATGTTTATATTTTTATTGTACCTAATATGCCTTTTACTTTTATTTGCACTAAAATAAACTCCTAATTTTTAATTTATATATAAATAACTTCTTAACATAAATTAATATTTGTATGAATTATGAATTTATTTAAATACAAATCACAGAATAAAATTTATTTAGATATAATAAAAATATAAAGATATTTTAAAAAATTAAATAATTTAAGAGCTTTTTTTTTTATATTTCAACAAAGGTTGTTAATATCGTATCGGATAATATTTTAGTTTTTTTTTTTAAATGATATATACTTATACCAATTGTTTCGACATATTGTTTTGAATTTTTTGATTTAGTATAAATATATTTGTAAATATATATGAACTTGTACATTATAATATTATTAATAATCTACAAAATACATATGTAATATATTCAAAAATCAAATAAATAAGTTTAAAAAGCATGAGAAATAATATCATAAAATTTTCATGATATTTTTAATATTTAATCTAATCATATGATATTTAAATAAATATTTTTTATATAAATATTAAGATAAAAACAACGAAATGAAAAAATTAACTAAAGTTTTATGATTGTTAAATTTTTTAAAAAGAATATAATTATTTTTTTGAAAAAAATTAAAATACTTATAAACTTTTAGTTGAAAAATTAAAATAAAACATAAAAATTTTAACTTTTAAAAGTGATTTTGTTAATTAATTTTATTCACATATCGATCGAAACATATTATTTTACTGAAATTTATTAAAATAAATTAAAATTAATAAAAATAATTAATATTATTCGATATTAAATTCAATAAAAAATTTATTTTTAAATATATTATATTTTAATATAATTAAACTATACTGATCAATACAACCAATATCAAAATAAAATTAACTACCATGATTTCAACATAAAAGTTTACATTCCATCCAATCCGGTCATGTCATCATTATGTCTTTTGGCTTGACATATTGGCTAATTAAGTCGGTTGGTAAATCTGTTTACATTAAAAGACTTAGTCTCGAACTGATCATGATTTTGGCCCAAAAAAAAAAAAGAAGTACTCATGATGAATCATGCTGTTTCCACATTTCCCCCCGCAAATGTTTATTCAAATCAAAGCGCTCTCAAATTTTTAGCAGAAAACTCGTGCGGTGCACATATGGGTGGCTGTGAGAATTCATTCAACCTTCAAAGTCTACATTTTAAGCAACGCTGCAAATGTTCATCATTATGACCTAAGAATTACGAATGAATGAATGGACCAAAAGGACCCTTATTTTGTGTGGAAGAGCCACTTCTTTCAAAGTCAGAGCATACAGGCAAAGATATTTTACTTCAAGGACTGATCTTTGTAACTGCAGCCCAAGTTCTATAATTGTTCAAAGAGAGGCTCTATTTTTAAAGGTTGAATTATTTGCTTTAATCATGTTATTATGTATTTTAATTTCGAATTAAGAAACATTCAGTGATACTTTACCTCCAACACATACAATTGTTTTTTTAATTACTAACGTGTATAATATTTTTTTTTTATATGAAGTAGATCGTGTTTCAAAAATTAAAAAATAATTATAAATATGAAAATTTAAATTTAAACTTATTAAATACCACCTTTTAAAATAATAATATAATTCATTTAAATCATACTCCAAATTTTATTATTAACATATATTTAAGCGTAGGGTCTACAATTATGCTAGTTTATATTTTGTAACATATACGTTTTCGAGAAGCCCAGAAAATGTGGCTGGTTTTCCTATCTATCGATTGCAGAAGCCTAGATACAGCTACTTCCTTAATGAAGAAAGAACAAATATAATTAAACATAAAATTTATCGAAGAAAATAATAATCAAAATAATAATATTAAATATGCTTCACATGAGCCTTTGACTAATTCTTTCCTCTCAAAATGTTGATTAATTTCCATAATATATGCACCATTTTTTCAAAAAAAAAATAAAAAAAAATAAAATTTGATGAGTGTTGAATGAGTAAGTGCTTAGTTGACAAGTGACAACATTAAAAACAATCCAATAAATGAGGGTTCATTTAAGTTTAAATTAAAAAAAAAAGAAGAAAGAAATCAGTAAAAGTAGAAGTAGATGTCTAATTTGTGTATATGTATTGTATTAATGTTTACTAAATATGTGTAAAATATAAAATATTTTTTCGTCAAATTTATATCATACTTTGAATATAAAAAAATTTCTTTTTTTTTCTAAATTGATATATAAATTTGTCTAAAATTTTAAATTGCATTATTTTTTTTATTTTTTAGGGTATTATATCCCATTTAAAATTACTAATTCTAAGTAAAAATACAATATTTTCCTTGTGGTGGGACGTAAAAATTTGATAATATATATTTGTATAATATAAAATATTAATAATTTGTGTATTTTTATTATATTTTATAAAAAAATTAAGTGAAATAATTTATATTGATATGAAAATATGAAATATATTTTTTATTTTATTAAATTCACATAAATTTAATTAAAATTTTAAATTGTGTTATTTTATATTTTTTAATTTGTATATTCTTGTATGGTATAATTGTAGTGTTTTAAATTGATAGATTCGGGCGTAGTGCAGTAAAAGTAGAGTACTTCAATACATTAAAGACAAAAGTCCGCAAAAAGCTGTTGAGAGTCCCAACAACCTAATCTGACAGGTCGGATACATATCCTCGCATCCAAATTCCAAACCCAACACATAAACCAGATACACAACCAAGAAAAAAAAACCAGATTGGGATTTGTCCGTTTCGGATTTCTTTTCCAATTTGGTTGGGCTTTTTTTTTATTATGCGTTTTTGATTGGTGGGAAAAGGTATGGTGGGCTCGCTTGATTGTGATCTTGATCATGATGATCATCATCGTCATCAACTGATGAACGGTCATGAAGGGGATGCTGCAGCAGCTCCATCTTCTGAGGTCTCATGCTCGATTTGCCTTGATTTGGTTTCCGATACTGGCGGCAGATCCAGGGCTAAGCTCCAATGTGGTCATGAGTTCCATCTGGGTATTTTTCATGTTTCTTAATTATGCTGTTTTCTTTTTGAAATTATATTTGATGCACCGTTAGTGTATACATTTCATCAATAAACAACTTTATGAATTATCAATGGAATTATGGTGATAGAAGTCTACGGAGATAATCTTGTCAATTTGATATTGGGAATCAATGATCAATTGGTTGCCTTTCAAAAGGACTTACAACTTTTAGGCAGGAGTCTTAAGGTTGTCCGATAAGCTAAGGGGTGAAGGCGAAAGAGATTTTTAGATGAAGCAAACCTCGTGCATTTACGGTTTCTGCTTGAAGCACGCTTTTACATTGTCTTGTTGTCTTTTGGTTTGGCCCATACACGCATTATATCATAATTGGTTTTCATAATTTGCTGCTTATGACCCATACTCCGCAGATTGCATCGGTTCAGCATTTAATATGAAGGGGACTATGCAATGCCCGAATTGCCGGAAAGTTGAAAAAGGTCAATGGTTGTATGCAAATGGCTCCACTCGATCATTTCCTGAGCTAAGCATGGAGGACTGGAATGTTGATGATGATTATTATGATCAAGGTTATTCTGAAATGGTATTAACAAACTTCCTATGTTTTCTATCAGTCTGTATTGCTGTTTATTATCTTATAGCTGCATTTTTAACTTGGAAGAGATATTATCTTTTTCAAGATATTGGCATGTGTCCAGTGGCATGCCTAAAATGGTGAAGTCTTTTAGGTTCATGCAGATTATGGCTTGCAATATTGTATATGCTTTTCCATCTTTATGCTGCTCTTAATGTCTTAGTCGCAAAAAATATAAATATAGGCTTCAATGTTCACAGAAAGAAAAGTTTAGGAAATGTCAAATTCGTTTTAATTGTGTCCTTTTCACCACTGAAATTTGTGACAACTTTCTCTTTTGAGAGAGATTTTTTAAAGTCTTAATAAGAATCCTTTCTTTCTCATACGAATAAATAAAAAAAATAAAATAAGAGTAATAGCAAGACAAAAAGATAAAAATAAGAGTAATAGTAAGACTATTAAAACTCCTTTCAACACTAAAATAGTATGAAGAATGTAGACTATTATTTCTTTTCCATTACAAAACTTGTTATGTAGGTGCCTCAGGTTTTTCCATTTTAAATCCACTTTGTGCTTGCTGTTTCAAAATGTATAAATTATTTCTTACAATTTGTTCTTGATAGCATCTTTTTTTTATTATTATTATTTTGTTTTTGCAGCCATTTAGAGTTCACTGGTGTCCATTTGGTGAATTTACAAGAATTGGTTCATTATCTGAGTGAGCAAGATCCCTCTTTTTGCATTGTTGATTTCATTTTGACCTAGTTTTTGTACTATGATTTCATAACTGTTAAGCTTATATCCTCTTGAATTTCTAGTTGTTTAGTGCTCAAAGAATACATTAGCATAATTGTTTACAATAATTTAGCTGCATATTTGGAATATTTTTATCTGATGTTGCTGCCTTTTACATAGTTCCTCCTCTACATGGGCTTTGATTTCTTTAGCATTCTAGCTTTTTTACCCCCAAGATAATTATGACCTCCTCCCTCTGAGCTTGTTTCTAGTTGAAGTTTTTCTTTCCAACCAATTTAGGAACTAGGCTAACAAGGTTGAAGGGGTTAAATTGCAGACAATAGCTTATTGCTTTAGTGCCACCCATTATTTGGAACTTGTTACATTTTAAAAATTCTAGACTCCTAAAATCAAGGGATTTACGTATACTTTTGTTTAAGAATGTTATGTAGATACATTTTCCTAGGACAGATAAAGTCATTGAAAGGAATAGTAGGGTAAAAGAGTATTGCATGCTGAGTGCAAGGTTTTAAACTTATAATTGAAGGATTATAAGTAGTGTTGAATGTTGTGCAGGATTGTTAATTTGTATTCTTTTTAGTTTTCACTTATGTTGTAAACTTCTGTTTTGCTTCAGCAACTGCAGTTGTTTTCTTATGGTGTCAGATCTCTCATTTCTCCTGTTCTCTTTGATGGAACTGTGAAACAAGATGGAAAAGTACTTATATTAGAATCTTGTTGTCTGTTTATTGAAAATGCTCGGCAGTTCCTTTGATAAAAACATTGCTGCTGTCACTGACATGTTGGTGCTTTATTATATCTTTCAGGGAAGTGGAACCTCCATCTACTACATGTAAGGATTTTTTATTTTTTTTTTTATGAATAAAATCACTTTCTACATACCATTTCTCTGGTGATTCAATGAGGCAACAACTGTGACACAAAAATGAAATTTCTTCTCCATGTAGATCATGAAATACATGGACACCATGCTATATCTGCTGAACAAGCTGCTGCTTCATCTGTGGCTCATTCATATGTTGCATATGCTGGACCACTTCCACCCACAACTCTAAGATCTAGTGATAGTGTTAATGATCCCAACATTAATCGCCATTCAAACAGCCTGTCTGGACACAATGAGATTTTTATTCCCCATGCTTTGCCCACCATTAGTATCCAATATCATAGTTGGGGCTGGCATTCTCCAAATTTGTCTGTATCTGATAGCCATATCAGCAATACTGATCCAGCTTCTGTTCCAGCTGCAGCTTTCAGATCTTCCAATGGGGAACTTAATGCTTTGAGTAGAGCCGGATCTTTTCCACATCCTTTTCCCTTGGAGCATGGGTAAGGCACCATCTAAGATGAGTTTGAATATCTACCTGATGTTATTGGCAGTGATTACAGAAACATGACAGTTGTGTTCAATTAGTTCTGTTCCATGTGAAAATAGTCATAAAATTTATTTATTTGTGTGTTTATATATATATATAGGGAGGGGGTGTGAATGTCATGGTAATGCTCTTGAATTCTAGGTACGACAGAGCATGGTCTGTGATGTAATCATGTTAAATGTGTTTATAAAACCCAAGTTTACTTTTGTTAAAAATCACATGAATATAAGTTCTCTTTGCTTATGAGCCCAAAATGATTAATTCAGCGATGGATTTTTAAGAATGTGGTACTTTTTTTTCAAAATAGCTAACATGATTGGAAAAGAGATACTTACCACTTTCCTTTTGATCGTGAATGCTGTTGACTATTGGAAAGCTAAATGGTCATTGACTCTTCATAGGTCCAGTTCTAGAGGTGGGAGTTCGTATGTCTCTTCAGTTTTTCCCTGTCATCCAGGCAGCACTGCTCATACTCATGATAGGACCCATGCATCTCTTGCCTTTTATCATCAGCAACATCATTTCTATCAACAGCGCTTCAATCGACCTGGTGTGCCTGCTGCTGTAGTTCCTGGAATGAGAAGAGCTTTGGCCCCACTAGCCCCAGTAGTCCCACAACCTGATCAAGGTGGCGGCTTCTATATCTATCCTCCATCAAGTTCATCGAGGCAGAACCTACACGAAGCAGAAAGTTTGTTTCCAAATAATTATAGTGCTCTGGAAAGAGAGCTTTTATCACATTTCCCAACCATATCAAGAGACTCAGGTTGGGGGTCATATCATCCTACACATAGCTCTGATTCTGGCAACAGGTCTATGAGCTTCCTCTATAGGCGTTTTGCTTAGATGATGCAGTCAAAGTTTGGTTGCAAATGCTTATCAATAGGTTTGTCCATGTTTGTTTCAAATGATTGCATCTAAATTTATGACTGGCATAAAAGGAAACTATAAGAATCGATCAACTTTGATCATTTTTGTAATTTATGGCAAATTTGCCCGTGGGGCAGACCTCGAAATTGACGAGTCCCTTTGCTCATTACATGCTGATGCATTCATCTATATCTTTTATCTATGTTGTTTAAAATTTCGCCTAGTAGATGAAAGGAAGCTGTAATAGACATTGGATTTCTGAACAAAAGCTAATGGCCGGTGCATTTGAGGATTTCCTGCAGGTAAAATGAGGAAACTTGATGCAATTGAACTTCGCTCAGTTTGAAGAAACAGTCACGGACGTGCACCTAGCATTTATCGAGTGATATGCTTCCAGGAAGTCCATCGCTTTGTTTGGTCAAAAGGGAAAAGTACAGCTTAGAAACATGGAAAATCAACACAAGGTCATTATTCTTTTCCTTTGGAAGAAATGGCCGTGGGAAAGAGCAGATCACTCCATTTGGACTGACGCTTCCTCCCTTGAGAAAATGGGGATACCAATCTCTCGAAAGTTTAGGATATCTTCTCAAATCTGGATCATCCAAATAAGCAGAACCAAAGACAAATTCAGGCGGAAAGTCAAATCCACTATATTTATCAGTGCAAAGCACGGGTAGTGTCAAACTTAGAAGAACTATTGTTAGCGAGGAACATAGACTCGTCATTTCGCTTTACCCTCACAGAGTTCAGCTCAGTGTAGAACTATTGTTCCATGATAGAATTGGATGGCAACTTGTTGAAATAGGATCGTACAAGAACAATCTCATCACGAGGAATCCACTTGGTAATCAAGAAACTTTTGGGTTAGACATTCGGATGTCCTTTTCTGCTTTTAGCGAAGGGCAAAGACTCGTATAAGGAATTGGTTTAAGTGGTTTTGGCTGTTTGCCTGTGCTAAATGGTTGCATGAGTTCCCCATTCCTGCCCTTTGCCTCCCTACCATGAGCTACTTGACAACTTTTCATATTCGGTCAGAAACATTGCTTCCAGGAGAAAGGTTCTCTTCAAAACTGGAAATGCAAACCCAGAAAACAAGTCATTCTATCATTCATCTGTTTTATAAATCAATGAACTGGACTCCTACTGTATGTAGCCTTTATCTAAGCAGTTCATATCACTCAAACATAAGCTATACGGCAAAAGACATGTAACGGTTTCAATTAAAAGTTTTTTGTCATGTTTTCATCATCAGGTCTGAAAACTGTGACAGCTGCAGATGATTTACCCAACACTTTATACATGACTAGATTGCTTTAAGGCATTTGAAAACTCAGATCTCAGTGTGTATCTCTAATAACATTCAGAGCAAGCCACTAATATAAAAAAATTTTTCCTTTAACCACAGCCTCAGTAAAAAGCTAGGACAAGGCTGCATATACCCGCTAGACCCTATAATTTGGAAGCCTCATGTTCCAGGGCAATTCCTGGAGATACTCTCTCCTGAAAACAATGCGAGTGACAATTCACAGATGCAATCATGGCTGAAACAATCAGCAGAGGTCAAACATGATCCAGATCAACAAATCATCAGGTTCTTCCTGGTATGGTTAGAGAACTATTTTCAGCTTGGACAGGATTTATGGCTTTCCCAAGCTAACGAGGAGGTCTGGAACTTGCTTTTTAAGCACTTTGCTAGTCTGTCTGGCATTTCCGGAAGGAGATAGCCCTTCGCAAACACATTATGTCAAGGAGACTATCAAGCTTTTTTCAGCACATGAAACTGTGTCTAAGTGCTTTTGATCCTCTTGAATGTCTAAAATTACTCTTTTCCCAAATTTAGCTATAGCAACAAGAAACTTTTAAGAGGATCCTTCTAAGAAATTAGTAACAATTGAAAATGATTACATGCATGCACAAACGTTAAAACAGAAAAGAGAATTATGAGCCAAGGCCAAAGGTTGAATGACACTCAGTTGAAATGACATGAAAAAGTCCAAAAAATAAAAAATAAAAAGAGAATCAAACATTACTAGAAATTGATTATAGTACCCAGTCGCGTGGTGCAAACACAAAGCCGTATTTTCAAGATTTAATATAAGCAGTAAAAAACCCATATATTAAATCATGGTTCTAAAAAAATGATTTTAAGTTTAAGGAGAATCATATATTGAAGACTGATTATGTCGGCAGTTGACTGCCTTAAACTGTCAAGAAGACCAATCGACTACAAATTGATATGGAGTCGATTGCTTTGATAAACAAAAATTAAATTTAGATTCTGTATAAAATAGCAGCGGACTGTCATCCTAGAGCATAGTCAAACAAATGTATAAATTTAGATATGGAGTCATTGTTTTCTAACACTTTCGAAAATGTATCTAATCTTTGAATTAGCATAGTCAAACAAATTGATTAGTAAGAGAAAAAATAATTATTAAAATTTAAAAATTAATAGTTCAGAGACTGGAATTCAGCTTCTGCTACTCTCATTTTTGTAATCTGCCATTAATGGAGACAAAGTGTTCCCCATCTTGGTATAAAACTGTGAAATTTCATTTTCCAAAGACCAAAGTTCAATCATTGAACAATGGCTGCGCACACATTCACTTGATGATATAAGATTCAATGACAAGAAACAATGTAACATATAAAAATAACTTGGTTAAAAGAAATTAAACATAATCATATCTCCAAAACCAGTGTCATCTTCAGAGAAAACCAAATTCAAAAGTACATTCTTTTATCAAAAGCTCAAACCCAATAAAACAGACACAATATTAAAATTCCTTTTATTTCGATGAAACAACTTACTAGTAATTTTGATGTGATACACTCTCTTCTCTTTTAAGTGTATAAAGGCAAATCAGTCCAAGCACCAGAAACATGTCCATTCTCACAAACATAAGCTCGAACAACAGGCTCACCGTCGTCATGGTACCCGAAAACCCGCCTCAAACAGAAAGCAGAATGCAAATCCCAAGTGTCTTTGCATGAGCAAAACGAGCAATTCAGATCAATCTTGCTTCTGTTCCCATCATTTAACGTCTTCCAAACCCGAGATTTCTTGAAATTCTTGAAGATGCCTCTGAAAAGCATGTAATTTCGCTTCTCCTCTGTGTGAACGCATCCCGGCCAATCGCTAATGTATAAGCAATCGCCTCGAAAACGGCTCGCTAATAACTTATTTCCTTGTTCTCGGCTTAAGTTCCAAGCACCGGTTGCTAAATGGGACCTCAGTGATCTATAAATCTTCCTTCTTTTACAAACGGAAAATTCACGCCAAATTTTAGTTGGTGCATTATCGGTTGTTTCCTCAGGATAGCCCTCTGTCGAATCGGATGCGTTATAAACGGTGTCGTAATAGAGATCTTCGAAAAGTGACCAGGAACAATCGCACCCAGGAACGTCCACTTCCGGATCCGGATTTGAAGTCGCTACAGTTCTGCTGGAACAGGGCTTGGTGGACGGCGTTGAGTCTTGGGAATTGGCTGGCTTGTGATAATTATCGTCGGGGACAAGCTGGTGTTCGAGGCCGAAACAGGAGTTCTCTAGAATGACGCCGGCGTGGAGAAGGCCAGGGCAGCAGACAGACAGCTTGTGGAGGGAGGCCCAGCCGCCGGGTGGGGAGGACGATGAGGAGAGGAGATCGGAGCAGACGGCGGGGATGGTTTTGGAGCATTTTTGTTTAAAGCAGGTGTTCCGTATTAGGGAGGAGAATTTTGCGCAGACGCAAGCGAGAGAAGCCCAGCTTTTGGGGTGGTGTTCGAGCTTGGAGAAAATGTTTAGAACGACGTCGTCAGGGAGTTTTGCGAAGGGCGTCTCTGTCATTGTTGTGGGTGGGAACTGAAAGGGGTGATATTTGGTATATTTGGTTTTTCTTCTATTTTCTTTCTCCAGTTGAAAACGGTTGAATTGAGGCCAGATTAGGTTAAAGTTCCGTTTGGGATTTCAGAGATGTGTTCAATGAACTTTTTTTTTTATTTTTTCTCTACTTATTTAGAATTCAACGAACAATCAGGGAAGCTGAGGAGGTGGTGGCTCTGGTGGCGGTGATATGAAAGACCGTGCGAGCAGCTTTTTGTTTGGACAGCTGCTTACGACTCCTCAGCCCTTTTTTTGGTAGCACAATGTATTTGAATTTTTTTTTTTTCAAGTTTATTGTGAAAAGAGTTAATTTCAAAGCTAGGCAGATCACATAATTTAAATTAGATTTATAAATCATTTATTAAAATTTGTTAATAGTAAAAATAGAAGTTTAAACCTTACCAATTCAAACCGAACTTGGTTGTCTGTTTCTTTCATCGTTGATTTTGATTCAGCGCAATGAAACATTCAGCATTTGAAGGATTGCTCAAATTGGAAGCGTAATTTCCTCCCCCAAAAGTAAGATTTTTTAGCAATTGAGATTGAGTTCAGAATAGGATGTTCAGAGTAGAGTAGAGCAGGGTAAAACAAAATAATTAAAAAAAAAAAAAACTTATATACTTAATTACAGATTCTAAATAAACCAAGATAGATAAATTTTAACCAATATTTTCGATTATAATAGCAGGGTTGTAGCCTCACCAAAATTTGAAAGCAACTTCTGTGTCTCTTGCGCTAAGCATACTAAAAAGATTCAAAATAATAATAAAAAAACAATTATTAAAAGGAGCAATGTATATGGAAATAAAATTTGTCAATTATTAAAAAGGAGCAAACTCAAGTTCAATGAAAATTAAGTATACCATTACCACACGAAAGGAACACTAACTTACCGTTGAGTATACTATTAAGGAACACAACTTTAGAGTCCTTTGTCACCATTATCAATCATCAGGGACAGCTGGACATATTTCTGTTCGGGGTTTGGACATTTCACGCGCCCACTTATCCACTTATACCTGTAACACCAGCACATGATACCTCCGCCTCCACTTCTGTGGATCTCATCCAAAACGAAAATATTCCTAACAAATTTCCCCATCTTTACTTAGAAAAGGGAACCGAAACCAAACCCATGAACACTTGAAAATGGTATTAGTCATTAAATTTAAATTGATAAATGACCAATACGAGGTTTCAGTTAACCTCCAGTTCCACTTCCTCTAGACATTTGATTAACGGTCCATTTGGCAGCCAATTTCAGGGATCCCCAAATCATTACTAAAGATTCAATTATAAACCACACCTTTTAATGCAATAAAAACCCTCCGATCAAGCTCCCAAATAGAGCCACCCAAGCCAAAGATCTAGCAATCAAACATCTACATTCTAACCCTCAGGCCATAAACCTTTTATTAGTTATTTATTCGTTGGCTCTCCCTTCATAGTTCATATCCATATCCTATCTCAAAACATTTTTACTCACAAATGGTTGATTGCCAACTGACAGCGATAACTATTAAGGTTGATCCAAAAAGCTAAAGATCTGGAAGGCTAAAATCCGCGGCCTCCTTACTTTGCATTCCAACAAAATTCACTAATCCAACAATCACATTTAAAATGCCAAGAACAGGTATATAGAATGGTTCAAAAAACAGAACAAACATCAGATGTTCTAAATTTAGCCATGAAATCCAGCATGATTCGTACACTTATTATAAGTTTTTTCAGCTCAAGGTAATTTAATTGGAACTTCAAATTTCATAGGAGTCTTCAGCTTCTGGGTCATAAAACAACTCAGCAATTGTATCTTACCTGTCAAATGAAATATACTATCAGGTTGCAGCGAAAATTTGTATGTGGGAGAATTGGAGATGAATGGATCAACATTTCTTGTACAAATGATATCAACAATTTTTTTATTTTTTAATTTAGCGAAGGAATGAAATTAACATCTTATTACCCAAGAAACTATATCAACGAAAGACACTAGAGAAGGAGCATGAGATCAAGACCTGGATAAACTCTTGCTTCTACTCCTGCTTCTACTCCCACTTGGACTCCTGCTAACACTGCTTCTTTTTGGACTCTTACTCCTTCCTTTTTCACGCTGAAGCCAATCCATTAAATGTAATGTAAAATATTAAACAATAGTAATCAATAAAATGAGGGAATAGCAAACCGGATAGATTAAACTTAGAGGTCAGAACAGACTGCTCAATGGGATAGAAACCAACCAATTTTTCCAAAGGTGAAAAAACTTCATTTGTGAAAATCTTGACTACATAAATGCAAAAAATCACTTACAGAAGGCAAAGGAGATCTGGATTTTGATGGAGATCTGCAAAAGTTCCACAAAGAACCCAAATTTAAAATCAACATGTTCCTTTTAACAACTTTACATCCAAGAGCCTTGATGCCACTTCCATGTCAGAATCACCATATTCAAAGGGAATAAAAAAGAAAGCATAAATCTTTAGCAGTTAAATAAGGAAATAATAAGTAGGACCAGCTCACAAACCTGCCTACATATGCAAGATAAATAAAAAATAAAAAAATAAAAACTAATCAAACAAATTGAAATCCTTCAAGAATAATTTTTCATATTTCGACCAGTGAATAGAGAATGAGCATGCTTCCCTACTGTGACACGAAAATCCACAGGTAATCCACATAGCATATCCTATTAGCTTGGCAATTTCCAGGAGCTGAAATTGACAGTGAAATATTTCTATCGCTCAATGATGGTGACTTGCAAATTCCAATGCATTTACTTCACTGAAATCCAGCTCTACTATTGCAATTCCTTGTAAAGAAATCCAGCTCTATTATTGCAGTCCGTTGTCTTCTTTGTTCCCAATCTAGCACCCACGGACATTTATGATACTATGTACATTAGAGAAGGGACAGTGAGTTTTTAAAGCTGCCCATCTAAAAAACAGCATACCTCTGCAACCAAATGAGTTGCATGCAATTGAACCATATTCCCACAAGTTCCTAATATCCAATCCCCAGTTTGCTGCATATATCCATATCTAAAAAGACAAACAAGGCAATTTTTATTTGACAAAAGAAACAAAGTGGATGTAGTTCAAAAGCTGGGATATAGTCCAGACCCATTTTCTTAGCTAAGCCATCTATTGGACAATGAAAGCATGTAAGTCAAAAGCAAAAATTCATGTTGACAACCACAAAAGAGTAGTTGAGTCCAAAAAGCACTAACAAGTATCTTTTCATTGATAACCCAAGTAGATCCCCATGAATGAAGCACACAAACATGTCCTCTACACATTCCCTACCTTACACAAGAAACTAAGAGAGAGAAATAATAGCATAATTAGCTTTCAATAACAATCCCGAATTTAAGGTTGGACATAAGGTCTGCCAATGCTCACAGTTACTTTAGACTTTGAAAGTGTAATATGCTATGTCTAGATGCATTTTTTTCTGTATGTGTTAAAGGGGCAAGCGAGTAAGAAAATTTTCAACGGCAAAAAATATAGAAAAAGAAGAGTAAGCAATCAGAATGTATAATGAAATCATTCCATCACGTGGGCAAACTAAATATTCGTTTCTTAAAATGACTTAGTTCAGCTTCCCAAAAAAATGCACTTATTGCATTTAGGGGAGAGCATATGTTGGTGCAAACCGACTAAACCATTCAAAGACCGATCATTATATTAAATTGGTTTTGGTTTTTTTGGTTTAAAAGATTAAATCAGTTTTGTATTCAGTTTAGGCTGTTTATTTAGTCAGTTTACAATTTTGAATCTTACAAACCGAACCAACCGAAAATTAATAATTAAATATTTAATCAAAAATTATTTTACATTTGAATTATTTTGATTTTCTAATTAGTAAATTACACATTTACCTTTACCCAATACCCATTCAAGAAACCCTAAAATCTAAATCCTTAATTTTATTCTCTTTCTCCCTCATACTTTCTCTTTGCCACTTCAGCTCCACCATCAAAATATTTTCAAGGGGGCGATGTTTGATACAAGACTTGTTCGACATGGCCTCTTCTTTGCCATCAAAAAATTTTCAAGGAGTTGATGCAAGGGGACCTATGCCTACTGACCAAAATGTTGCGCAAAAACATGATGCATTCCTTGACAGAAACTATGATGGCCTTGTTTATCCATGAGAGACTTTTGAAGGTTCTTCTATTTTGCTCTTAAAAAGAAGAGAGAACTCCTTTTATTTATTTTAATTTTTGTGGGTAAGTTGGGTTTTCTCTTTTTAACAAGTTTTCAAGCAACTGGGGCTGGTTATTTCTTGTCTATGGCCGGTGCCATCATCAATGTTGCTTTCAGTGACAACTCAACCTATAAATTCTTGGAACTTGCATTTTTATATTTCTTTCTGTTACATATGCATTCTCTTTCCTTTTCCTACATTTATTTTATTTTTTGATCCCTGTTTTTCGATTCTTTCTTGTCTGTTTCAAATTAATTGTGGTTTTATGTTCTTTCCTTGGTGAGAAATATCTTGTGAATTTTACTCTTGAAAATGTATAGCAAATCATGTTCTAAGCTAGATTTTGAAGGCATTCAGTTCCTTCTTCAAAAGAATATCTGAGAGGATTTTAACCTTGTAGCATTTCTGTGAGTGAAACCGATAAAACCAATGAAACCAACCAACCTAATTGGTTTGGTAAATTTCAGTTTTCATTCTATTAGTCAGTTGGTTTGGTTTTTCAATAAATAAACTCGGTTTAGTCGGTTTTCGGATTTTTACAACCGAATTAACTGAACCAACCATTTGCTTAGCCCTAATAGCATTCCAATTTTTATTTTATTATTATTAACTTTGCATTTTCAGGATCCAAAATGACTATAAACTCCGAGCCACCCACCTACGCTTATATAAATTTAGAGGAATCATTTAAAAAAAACTCTTCAAATGCAACCAAAAATCAATTTTAAGGTCGACAAATCTGATGCATTAACCCGTGACTACAAGCAGATAATAGATGAATTATTATCAGTAAAACCAAAAGCCAGCAACTAAAAATTCCAAATAGCATCATGCTTCATAAAACAAAAACATATCCCATGGGAAAGGGGAGGCAAGTGTACCTTGACAAAGAATGAGACCTGGACGCAGAGCGGGATTGAGAAGGAGACCTTGATCTTGACTTAGCAGGTGACTTGCGCGAAGGTTTTGCACTGGGGGACTTGCTGCATTGCAGGTGCAAGGTTAACATGCAACTTTAAAGCCATAAATAAAATATCATACCCTAAAAGAAAAAGAAAAACCTGTGGCTCCTGCTCCGACTATAGCTCCGACCACGACTGCGGCTGGGGCTGCGACTTCTTGAGAGAGATCGACCATGACTAGGGCTTCTGGAGGAGTCCCTCTTAGAATCATATTCCCTAACCTACAGGCAAACAATCTAGTAAGCAAGATGGAATATAATAATTGCAACTAGAGAGAAATAGCATTGAAAATAGAAAAAAAGTCAACTATGCTAAAATTTTTGTATATGTTAATTAGCAAAATGAATCATCTTCCTTCAGTTTCTAAAAGACTAGGTTGAGATCATATACCCGAACATAAGCCCGAGAAAATGCATTCCGAAACTCAGAATCATCAAGTTTCTTAATCTGCAAAAAAAATACCAGGAATTTTCGTACATAATGATAATTACTCAATGACATTAACTAAGACGTCTTCCAGGCTGTCAATATGAGTAAAAAGGAAGGAAACTTACAGCATACTTCATATCATCATAATTGGTGTAGTCCACAATCCCCGTTGTCCCTGCAAAACCAAAAGACAACTTATATCAGTAAACCCGCAGTTTTAAAGCGGTTGAACTTTCATTCCATAGTCTAGACCTGATTGCAATGGTTTTGATCAATTCAATTAAGGAAAACAAAACAACTAATTTTAACTAAAATTAAACATAAAAGCTAAAGGATCCGCCAACAACTGTTTGCATCAAACATAGTGTCTTACCACTACCATCACGGAAAACTTGGGAAAAACAAACATCCCCAGCTCGACGCATGTGATCCTGAGGAAAATACATCACAAAACAAAGATTTTTTTTTAACTTCCTTCTCTTTTCTTGTAAGGGGTCTCTTCCTTTTTTTAAAAGGGGGGAGGGATTACCAAAATTACCAAAATCAACTCTTACCTTGAGGTCCTGCCATGAAGCAGAAGATGGCAATCCAGTGACTGACACTGCATATCATAGTAATTCATTAAAGACAAATTATAGGCATTCTAGTATATCTGCCAAATGGATACCATGGGCATCAAATAGATAACAAACCACGATATTCAGAACGTCTGGAAGGTCCACGTCCACGCCCACCACCATGACTGCTGTGACGATCTAGTGATGATTGCCCACGACCACCATGCGCCAGTTCAACCTGTAATTAATAATAAGCATGAGAACATAACCTACAAAGCCAAATCTACTAAATTGATGCTAAATAAAACCTATACATGCAAGAAAAAATAACTAACCCGCAAACGATGTCCTCCAAAATCATAGCCATCACGACCATGAATAGCATCTTCAGCATCTCGAGCCTCTTCAAACTAAGAAAAATATAAAGACAAGAAACAAAAACCCAAAACCAATAATATCCCCCCACAATAAATAAATAAACAACCAAAAAGAAAAGTTAGCATCTTTAAACTCACCTCAACAAATGCATAACCTGGAGGCCTTGGTGGAATTTTCAGGTCAATATGGGCTATTGGACCATACTGCAACAAAAACAAGAATAGCATATTGAGATTCATTCAAAACTATATCAACTAAGACAACTCACCAAACTTAATAGTAGAAACTGTGGTTCTACTCCATAAATTAAAAGAGCCAAACTTTGTGTCACATGCACATTCAAAGAAGAATTTATGCAAACCACAAAAGAAGTATAGTACATTTAGGTTTTCTTGGTTTTGGTAGCCAGGATTAAAGGTGAATTTTGTAGATTAGCTAGAACTTAAAGTGTTAGTCCAAAATACAAGGCTTTGGCAGCAATTTTTTGGTTTTCATTAGATTCTAACTTATTTTTTTAAAGGAGTATAGCTCTTATCTAATTTGAAGTCCTATTCCTTAATTTCAATGGACAAAAGGATAATAGGAAAACAAAAATACTAAAGATCTCTCAGCATATTTTCTAGTGAATAAGGCGGGAAACCATAAAAATAGTCGATTAAATCATCCAGTTTCCTCTCATCAATCTTCTTTAACCGTAGACCTGATTTGGCAGTCTTCACACTATAATTCCATTCCTTTACATTTAATATGCCCTAAAGATCAAATCCCAAGCTCGGAATTGAAATCATAAATACACAACTTATATTTTTAAGTTCAAAGTTCCACCTAAGACAACTTGTCTGCTCCCAATCAAGTACTTTACAAGTAAATAGCAAAACTTACTAGTTTGCTCATAAGAAAGTTTCCATTTAACCTAATATATTGAAGAGTTAATGGTGAAATTGCAAGAAAAAAAAGGAAAGATGAAAGTTTATTAACCTTGTAAAACAAATCTTCAACTTCCCTCTCGCGAACATCACCAGGAAGATTTCCAACGTAAAGAGTCCTGCTCGAGCGGCTACTCATTTTTTTCCCTTTCCTGAGAAATACAAAAAACAAACAAAAGCAAATTTCCAGAGAGCTCAGCCTAGGATTTAAAGAAGAAAAAGAAAGATGCATCGATTTAGGGTTGGAATTCAGGAATTAAGGGCTCACCTGAAAGAAGGGCTTGTTTCGACACGGAGACCTTAGGAGAGAGTTTTTAGGGCTTTGAAATTTAACAATGGAACAGCGGATAGGCGGGCCGGGCAAGGTTAGGCACAAAACAAGAAAACAACGGGGGATAAGGTTAGGCTGAGCAGACGTGTATAGCAATCTTGTTGCGCGCCTATGATTTTATAGCAAACACGCTGCGTCAGAGCGCGAAGATGTCATCTTCTGTTTTAACCTGACATGGTAAACTGTGGAGCCTTTTTATTTGGTAAGAAGAAATGCTGACACTGACTGTATCCAGTTTGCCGGATGATTTTGTCCACTTATAGGTGTTTGCCACATAAGCGGCTTGTTAAATAAAGAATCATTTTCTAAGATATTATTGTTAAACATTTTTTAAATTAAAAAAAAAAAAAGGGCAAAAGAGGTAGGAAAAGAGTTGTACATACAAGCTCAAATAAAATTCATACAAAATTTTATTGACAATACTAATAACAACCACTGCTATATTAGTTCAATAAATGAATGTAATAATTTGTGTATTTATATTTATTTATTTTATATCTAATATATATAAAATATAAATTTTATTTTATATTAACATGTTAAATATAAAATTTTTTTATCAAATTGAAGTATAATTTTTATTAAAATTTTAAATTATTTCATTTTCATATTTTTTATATCATTTTCATATTATATTATCATAATATATTTAAAATTATCTAATTTACTAATTGATTAAAGAAGATATTTTATCATCTCAAGTTAACTTTTATAAAAAAATACTCTAAAAGTAAAATTTCAAATATATCATTTAGAGCTATCAAACAAATACACCTTATAAAAGCCCTTGGACTAGATGATATGTCACCTTTATTTTATGGACTTGAAATAATGAGCTTCTACTTATCTGTTTTTAATGGGGGCATAATCTTCATGATATTAATAGTATGAATATTGTGTTGATTCCTAGAGTAAAAAACCTTAGGGTTATGGCCAATTTTCGACCAATTAGCCTTTGTAATATAAGCTATAAAATTATTACAAAAACCATAGTTAATAGGTTAAAATATATATTAGTTAGGGAATTCCAAAGTGCTTTTGTCCTTGGAAGATTAATATATGATAATGTTTTATGGCCTATAAATTATTACATTTCTTGAAATTGAAAAAAAAGGCAAAATGGGTTATACAGCTCATAAGCTGGATATGAGTTATATTAGTACTCGCGAACTACTTGGATTCGATTCGATTAAAACTCGAATATGATTCGATAACTATCAAGTCGAGTTCAAGCTTGAATAGCTCAACTTATCGAACAAGCCAAATTCGAGCATATTAGTACCCAACTCGAATAGTTCAGGAGCCTAATCGAGCTTTTTAATTATATTATTATTATTTTATTTATAAAATTACTATTTTACCTTCAACCTAAAAAACCTTAAATTTCCATTTTTTCTTTCCCTTTTTCTCGTCGTCTCTTGCATCTCACCCTCTTCTTCAAAGAGTCTAAAATTTTTCATAGAATATAAAATTGAAAAAACTTATATCAAAGACAAAGTCACTGCAAATTCTTACTTTGGCTTTTAACATCTCATATTTGTCATCTAAATTTAGTTGAGCTTATAACCACAGCAAATCTTCAGTGAGTGGTCACAATCTTTCATTTGTTTTTCTCTGCATTAGATTCCAATATGAAGTAACCATTTTATCACAAAGGTATATAAAAAAAAATGGTTGCTTCGACCAAGGTTGGCCGATGAATAATATGAGTGTTAGGCCTAGGGTTCTACTATTACTAGGGTTCTAACACTCAAAACTTAGCTTTCTTTGAATAAATTGATATTTAAAATATCTTTTTTTTTTCTTATATTGCTAAATGCTTAGATGCAAACTTGATTGAGATTCCTATCGAAGTGGAGGCTCCAGATCTTTATTATTATCATGTATTCAATATTGATTTCTTCTACCTTCCTAGTCCTATTTGTTTGGTTAGTTTCAATTTTTGGCAATAGCAAGTCTAATTAAACATTTATTGTGTGTAGCTAGCCTTTTTTACAACAAGAGAAGTTGAAGCACTTGAAGAGCTGCTTTGGGTGAGTGATTACTTATAGTTATATTATTCTGCAGCTTTTAATTGATATTAGTTGTGTTTCATATGATTAAAAAAGAAAAGAAAATGAAAGTAATGATCAGATTGTTGACTTTGTATGAGGATGATGGACTTGTACTTTTTTTCTTATGATTCAATCAGTTATTTTAACCTAACCTTACCTGTCTTCTTTTCATTTGGTGATAGCTTGCTTTCTTATCTGTAAGGGAGTTATTCTTTTGAGAATTTGACTTGAGAACATTTCTATAATCACATTGATGTGGAATGATTACTAACTATTCTTGACTTTAGTGTTTTATCCCATTTCGCACTCTAATTTAGGTTTGTACTTTTGGATGGGAAATTAAGGTCACATTATTATTATATATTGGCATTTAGGATTCAAAAATGAATTGGCCAGCTAATAACCTCATCAATGCTATGGCATTGGTTTAGAATACGCCGTTACAATTATTTACTTCGAGCATGTGTTGGATTTTGAGGGTTTTACAGTCAATATTACAAAGCAATAATTGACAATTTTCATACAAAATTTTGAGTGTTTAAGCAGATTATTATGTAGTTAATCAAGACACACATGTATGTGTCTAGATTTAGAAATAACCTTACTTTTGCTATCATGCTTGTGTAAAAAATTCATAATGTTAGATAATTTTTTAATTGTAGGAAACAAAATTCTACCATGATTTTGATATATCAATTAATATAACCATATTGACAATGTTGATATACTTGTTACTAGTATTCAAAACTTGGAAAACCTAAAGTTTTGACATTTTCTTTTTAGTTTGTTGTTCAGTTTCAATTCTATAATAATATTTTAGTAGGGATCAATATAGAACTTTGGTTTGGTCGTAAGCATGAAAACAACGGTGATGATAGGGCAAATGAAATAAACTAGGTCAATTAGGCAACCAATAATCTATTTGCATATTTCTAGCTTGTCAATAACCTTGCAACAGTTGTAAATGAATGGATATTTTTGTTGCCAAAATTTGAACCCAATCATTAAAATTAAGAGCCAAAAACTTTACCATCAAACTTTATTTCCGTTCGAGAATGAACTTTTTTGGCTTATTAAAAAAAGGTAGCCTTCCTTTTTCTATTCATCCCACACGTGACAATTTAAACACATGAAAGTGGAGATAAGCGCTAATAGCCACATAGACATAGTACTAAATTTTATAATATGAACCATTCCAAAAAATGTTCTCTCATTATCAGCCGATTTAAATAGTCCTCAAAGAACTAGCTATGAAACTACATAAATGCTCAAATTTATGCATTTTAATGAAAAAAACAAGCCATTAGCAAAAAGTTCTAGTTAAACATGTTCAACTGAATATGACTTATCATTTAGCCTTATTTGGTAATCTTACCTAGTAATCATTTTATGAAGTGAAAATCATGCAATGCTTTATGCAATATAAGAGGAAAGTTAGTTTTCTCTCCCACCGAGACTATTTTCAGATTTAAGCTATCATGGATCATTCATGATAAAATTAATAGTCTATATTTTCTATAGGTTATAAATTAATGCATGATATATATACGCCTTATACTTATTTTTTGTAACATAGTCTACTTAACTTTTTTGGCTCTAATGCAATTTTTTTAGGGCATATGCATGTATGAGTGTTTTTATACATTGATGCATTTTTTGTTTGGATATATTAAAGCAATATATGTTTTTCATATGTGGTTTGAAGTGGAAATTGGGTATCAGCTCATGCATTATTGTATTACTTTGTTTGTCCTTAGTAAGCTTGTGTGAGGTATATTGCTTACAATTCCTATAAATGGTTATCATTTACTACTAAATTCCATACTCTTCCAATAATTTGTTTCTAGCAACTTGTTTGGCATGTTTCTCGAAAAAGAATTTACCACACATATTTCTAACAACTTGTTTGGCATTATTGTTTGATCCTATTGAATTATTATTTTGATTTGTTTTTTTTTTTTTATTATAGAGAACTAAACATGTCATTAACCACACCAGATATCTCTTATGTACCATTTGAACCGACAACAAATTCTTTTGCTAGGCGAATTGTGTCAAATGATGATAATGATTCAATGAATTAAACTTTAGATGTCATTGATGGTAACACAAATAAAACACCAATCACCAATACCAATAATAGAGAATGTGATGATGCTGACCCTGAAGAGTGTGGGAAAGGTAATGAGAAAAAAGGCAAAAGACATATGCTGTTTGGTTAGAGTTCAAAAAAGTCAATCTTCTTGATGATTCTAAAAAAAAAAATGTGTCCATTGTAAGAAGAAGCTAGCAATAAATGCAAGTAAAAGTACAACTCAATTTAAAAGGTACTTAATAACTTGTGTTAAACGAAAATTTTTTAGAATCAACAACAAATGATCAACTTTCAATCTGTAAACACATGTGGTAATGTACAGATACTACCTGCTTTCACAAATAACAAGTTTGATATGACAAAGATGAAAGAGACAGTTTCATATTAGATACTTATGCACGAGCATCCTTTTTTCGATTGTGAAAAAAGAAAGTTTTAACATGATGCAAAAATGTGATATGTTTAAATGGGAAAAGATATCACACAATACTATTAAGAATGATTGCATGCAAGTTTATGAAACAAAAAAGAAGAAATTAGAGGCACCGTTGAAGACTGTCAACAACATTAGTTTGACGACATATTTGTAGAAGTCAAGTAATTAAAGGATTGAGTACATGATTCTTATAACAGACTTTATAGATTCTAATTGAAGATTACAAAAGCGCGTTATTAGTTTTGTTCATATACCTCTTTCTCGTCACGGTGTTGAGATTATCCATTGTATTTTTAAGTGTTTAAAGAAATGAAAAATTGAAAACAAAGTGTTTACACTTTTTATAGACAATGCTTTAAGTAATGATATGGCAATTAGAATTCTTGAAGACATTTTTTTAAAAAATATGAGGTTACTTTGTGGAGGAAAATTATTTTATGTTTGGTGTTGTACGTATATCTTAAATCTCATAATTCAAGATGGTCTTTTTAAGATTAAGAATGTGATTGGTGATGTTCATGAAAGTGTCAGTTTTATTAATTAGAATGAGGTAAGACTTAACTCATTTTTTAATATCGTATAGCAGTTGCAATTGCTTGATAGAAAACTCATTCTCGATTGTAAACCATTGGAATTCAACATTTAAGAT